CCATGGCCTAATCTGAGCACTGTCCCAGAATCTGCCTCTAGAAGTGAGGAAACCACGAAAAACCTCCGTCGGGATAGGCAATGTCCCAGCTGACATTTGAACTTAGTGCCTCTCGGACACAAATCTACAGCATTACCATTGCAGCTGCCTATTTCATTTGCTGCATGCTTGCTTGATTTGCTCTTTCACACTGAAGATGATAGCAGTACATTCCTTTGAAACACTGGTACACTTCTACCAGGCTACACTGCGTCACATGCCACAAGACAGTGCTCTCCATAGTCAAAGCTGTGACAATGTCAAATCCAACGCAGACATAATAAGTTGTCCCATATTATGTAGTTTTTACATCATTAAGATTCTCCTTTATTTTTTGGATAGTATAAGACATAGGTCCTCAAAGCTTAGGCAATAAATGGCCCACCGTACCATCCCTGAATGACACATGAAGGACATGGAGCATTTGGCGCAATGGTGAATGGCAAAGGAAAACCAAAGCAATTGGGGGTGGGGGGGTGGGGTTAGTTCTGCAGCCACTTTGTCCACCACATGTTCCACATGATTTGACCTGGGGCTGAACCCAGGCCACCGCAGCTGGTGAGTAACTGCTTGAGGTGTGACACAGCAAAGATTTTTATCTCAGCGAGTGTCTTGTATCTGAGTATATAAGGTTCGGTTCCTATTCTGCCATGCTCCCTGACCACTATCCCGTCCAAAATGCATACAAGCAACAATCAGAATGAGCTTCACTGTATTTACCAGTCCGTCTGCCTCTCGAGCTCCATACAGAGGCAGGTAGGTCGGCAGCTGCAAGCAGCAGGAAACAAGAAAAGTGGATGACAAGCTTTTAGGACAAGTGTTTCAAGCTACTGACATTAAGGCACACAGATTAGCACAATCAGATCGCAAAACACCTTTCTGTGACACCACACAGTCCAAACTGAAGGATGTGTCAATAAACAAACCACAGATAAAGTAAAACAGCGAACACTGAACCTGCCAAGTTCCAACCTTCCAATCCTTCTTAGCTGCTTTCCTAATGCTTCTAATCCATTTGCTACAGGTAAAGTTGTCTCTGTTCTTAGTTAAGTGCCATGTCATTAGGATGCATAGGACTGGATACAGAGCTCCATGCATTCTTAACCTTGGCACTAGATGGAGGTCAGTGGTCAGTTTCACATTCCAGCCATTTTTATCACTGGGAAAATGAAACCCCTATATCTACTCAATATGCCATGTGGGCCCCAAAAGGACAGATTCCTCAGTCATTCATCCCATGGCCTAGTCACTATTCTGACTTCATAGATATGCTTCAAAAGATGCATGAACTGTTACTTACCTGTCTCCAGTACTGCTCCAAGCTTGACTGGAAGATTCGATCTCCATCCAGGGCAATCTCTGTCTCAAATATGAGCCCCTTGGATGTGCCAAGAAGGATGGGACCAGTTGTAATGTCGGAGTCATTTCCAAAGTTCCAACCCACAGCTGTTATTTCATGCCCTTTGAATTTGTTTGGCTGGAAACAAATGCAAGACATGTGAGAATTCAAATTTATAAAACATCTGATACACGAACATTTATTGACGCAGTGGTACATGAACCACAAAGATGACTGATGTGAAAATATTAATACCGTGATATAGCAGGGATTTTGCAGTTTATTGTTAATGTATATGCAGTGGGTAATACAAAAGCATTAGCTCAATAAAGAAATCCTTATGGCAGGAATTATTTATTACTATTATTTATTTTAACTGCGAATGAGTTTTTAGCCAGTGGCAGTAGTGCTGCAATAAGACACAACACACATCACACAAAATAAAACACCACCACGCTCAAACAAAACACAGCACACAAAACTACACAAACAATAAATATCTGAGGTTCTCAAGGTGGTGAATACAAAGATTGCTGCATTCTGGTATATGTAGCCACTTAATCTAGTAAATCACTGTCAACATTTCACGTGAATCATCTGCCTCTAACCACAAGGCACAAGAGAGAACTGCAAGTTCCTCTGAAATGTTGATGTTCCTATGAAACTAGATGACGTATCACCACAGCAGACAATAACAGCCAACCACAGCGTAACTTTCTTTCTTTAAATTGTCAAATAATTTAACTCTTAAAGCAAGAATTTCCTTAGCATTTATGTGATAATCATCCAGTTTGTTCCATAGTTATTAGCATAAGACAAACTTCAGCACACTGCTTTACTTATAGTATCACTAAAGTTGTTACAAAAATATGTATATTCCACTGAATATACTTAGAGGACTGCATGGTATGGGTGGGGTAAAGATTTATTTTACAGCACTGAATGGTACAGCTAATAAATGAAGAATCTGAAAGGAAGCAATCACGACCTAACAGAGGTACCACCTCAGCTTTTCCCTGGATGGACTGAGGAAAACCACAGTCAAGGTAGCTGGTGTCTGGCCAAGATCTGAACCTAGCACCTTCCAAGTATTAGACCAGAGTGTTACTGACATGCCAATCTGCTTCTTGCATAACCCAGAAGACTACAATATGAAAATAACTTAAGAGATTATTATATATAGGAAGAGCTGGAAAGGCCATGCAGAAAGAATGGGTGAAGACAGGCGGCTGAAGGTGGCATGGGACTGCAAACAGACAGGATGAAGAGTATGAAGAATAAGGTGATGACAGAGGATTTTGAGGCTGGTACAGGCAGTATACTGTCAAATCCATTAAGACATGGAGAAGATGATACTCTCAAAATATATGGAATGGTAAGGAAATTATATACTGATGCATATTTACCAACCTGAAACTGTTTAATGTTGACTGATAACACTGTAATATGCCTACAGTTGTACTTGAGCTGGAGAGACAAACTGACCTGTTTGAGTTTAGTGGTCTTGTGGGACAAGTAGAGAAGTTCTGCAGGAGTCTCTGTGTTTCTTGAGGAGAAGCTCAGCAGTAAATGATGCCCCAAGGGATCCAAAAATAAGTCATTCAGCTTCAAATGTGACATATACTTTCCCAGCTCGATCTCTGTCAAGATACAGCATAGAAACATGTCATAGCAAACATCCAACACTGACATTAACCAATACATTCATCATAAGAAGGATGAGATGCAGAGGGAATATAGCATGCATGGGACAGAAGAAGGCATATGGGGTTCTAGCAGGAAAACCAGTAGGAAAGAGACCACTAGGAATAGCTAGACGTAGGTGGGAGGATAATACTAAAATGAATCTTAGAGAAAGAGGATGGAGAAGTATTGGCTGGACTTGCCTGGCTAAGGGCAGGGACCAGTGGCAGACTGTTGTGTATACTGTGATGCACCTTCAGGTTCCACAAATTGTTGGGATATTCTTAAGTAACTCAGCAACTGGTGACTTTTCAAGAAGGGCTCAAATTCATTGGGGTGGGGGGAGGGTGTGTTAGTTAGATATCATGTTTATTTGAAGGGCTGACAAAATGTGACTGCCTTGTTACCAGTGGTAAACGAAAAACTTTGGATGATGACTAATTTACTATTCAGTGTTCATTTATTGGCTTTTTGAGTTCTGGAAATCTCTGCCAGTCACTTGTGGCACAGAGGAAATAGCAAACCAGGTCCAAAGAAGTTATGATCAACATAATTAGTACATTCTATTTTCAGCAGACATCTCTTATTCATATGTAAAGGTAAAATTATACCAGTAACAGGCCGTGGGGGCCCACAGGGTTGTGAGACATCAAGGCTCCCACATTTTCTAGCCAATTGCCTCACACAGATGGCAGTGAGGTTGTCAGCCTCATGCACTGGCTGGCCGTCCCCTACTCCCAGGAAGACTCCTGGTACTAATTTTTGTTACAGGCTGAGTCAATCAGAGGGCCATAGTGGGGCTGGAAGGGTTAGGTCAATTGAGAAATCCAATCCCCTCATCAGGGATCAAACCTGTGACCTTCCAGCTTGTAGCATGTGATGATGGGAAATTCAAATATACCTAGACTGGGCTTTTCTTCTGTACAGTTGCATAAACAGGGTATAACGTATCCTGGTTCACAGAGCAGGCGGACTTTCAGTTACTATCCCAGCATGCGTCTGGAGGGACTGAAGCTGCGAAAACCAGTCAACAGATGGTCCCCAGGCAGAGATACAAACACAGGACTACCTGAATGTGAAGCAGGAATACTACCCACCTTACACCAGGTGGGTTGGTGTAGTGTCTGCAATGCAGATTCATATTTAGGGGGCACTTAGTTCAAATCTCGGTTAGGACACCACTATCCTCGCTGAGGAATCTTGTGGTTTTCCTCAGTAGGCAAAGGCCAGGACACTTCTCAACTTACACTACAACCTCCTCCTTCCAACTTGTTTCCAATTTACCATTCATCTAGCATGCTACCTTTCAGCACTTAGTCTGGTCAGTTGGTCAGTCAGGTAATTTGTTCCTAGCCTAAGTCAGCACAGTTATTCTTGTTTAAGTGCTGCACACAACCCATGACCGTAATTTTTTTTTTCTGTCTCATGTCTTTGACTCATGAAATTTAGTTTGGATACTGATGGTGTTGTAATATACCCCTCCCAACATGCCATGATGTTCAGGGGGAAATCTCATTTGTTCTGACATTTATCAGTTTGCCCTTAAAATCTCAAGTCAAAGCTTCTGCTAGCTGTAACTGTCTCATTGAGAGCATACAACTATCAGGATGATAAACAGGTTCCTTGTTTTACGCAACTCAAACACATTTATTAAGATCTGCACATGGACACCATCCTGAGCCAGCTGAATCCAGTCCACAATGTCACACCCTGTTTCTCTAACATCTATTTAAAGGCCACGCCACAGCTCAAGCGGTTAGTCGCTGGCTTCCCACTGCGGCAGCACAGGTTCAATCCCGGGTCTGGTAAAGTGGGATTTGTGGTGGAAAAAGTGGCGCTGGGGCAGGTTTTCTCAGAGTACTTTGGTTTTCACTGCCAATCTTCATTCCACCAATTGCTCCACAATCACCTTCACCTATCATGTGGGGCCGGTACAATAGGCCAGAAGTGGCCACAGTACAAGGGACTTAGTCCCACCCCACTAGCATTAAAAAAAATTAATATCTATTTATCCTCCCAACTATAACTAGGTCTTCCAAGTGACCTCTATTTCCTTGGGCTTCTGATCAACGTTCTGCATACCCAGTCTCCCCAAGGAACAGTAAACAAATTAAACAAGAAACAATGGGACATCATTACCCTGGGAGTTGTCGGGCTTCCTTAGATCTATCCTCAGCAGGATGTTGTTCGCCATGGTGAGCACAAGTAATTCACTGCTCACTGCCAGATGAGTGATGCGGTCCTTTGGTGAGAAGTTCACCTTCTGTTTGCTGAAAATTGGGGGCTCCTCCTCTAGCTTCATATGTATGAACCCCGTCGTGCTCTGCGAAACACACATAACCAATAAGAACCATGTCAATACCACTTCATGTAGAAAACACAAGAAGAATTATCAGAAATGCAAACAAAGTTCTTGTGGGTAGGCTATACTGTCATGTCATAGTGTAACCTTATTTCACATTATAATTTTGACAAAACATCACTGTTGAGTGAGTAAGAGCGCTACTTCATACACATGCTAAACCACTGACTAGTGATCCTCACATCACACAAGAGACAGGCTTCTCTCATCATAACAGTCTGGTGGTGTACATTGGGTGAGAAGCAGCTGTATCCTTTCCATGTACAACTTGTACAAGGGCGAAACCCAGGGGATAATAATCTTTGCCTCTGCTTTTGTCTACAGCTAATTAGCTAACCAACTCCATGGAGATGAATCCTTGAGAAGCCAGCAGTTGCTCAGACACTCTAGAAATACCCAGCATCTTAAGGGAACCTGAAGCCTCATTATCATGTCTGCAGGAGCCTGCCACCAGTCCCCATCCTTAGCCAGATGAATCCAGTCCACAATCCACTATCCTATTTTTCGAAGATTCATTTTAATAATGTCTTCCCATTTACATCTAGGTCTTCCTAGTGGACTCGTTCCTTGAAGTCTTCTTGCCATACTTCTGCTTGCACTTCTCTTTTCTTGCAACCATACTACATGCCCTGCCCATATCCAGCTCTCTGCCTTCATCGCAATAACATCTGTCTATAGTAATTATGTAAAATATTTTTTAAAATATTATTTATTTTTCTAATCACAAAACAGTCTTTACTTTCTGAATGACCTTCGCATGTTACCTGACATCACTTTATTGATTTTAAAAGAAACGCAATAGAATTACAGCATAAAACGGTTTAAAATATTGAAAAACTGATCTGAATCTCCACCTCCATGAATGCAACCTTACTCATCTCACATCATAATGAACTCCACTTATGTCTTTTTTTTTACTTACAACCCATTTTTTGGAATGAACTACAATGTAATTCTCAGGCATGAGGCATGTAAATAACATCCATCTGATGCAACACATTTGGCTACATGAATTTTTCACGCCTAATAGCAGGACTGGAGGTCAGCTTCTGTTAGGGTCTTGATGGTCTTCATGGCACTGGTTACAGCCTTCTGAATGCTGTCAAGTGTTTGAAAATGATAGCCCTCATCTCTCAATTTCAATTTTGGGAAAAAGTAAAAATCACAAGGTGAAAAATCTGGAGAAAAGGGAGCCTATGGAAGCATGGGAATGCACTTTTTCGCCAGAAATTCACGAACTGACAATGCCTTGTGCACGAGGGGGTTGTCATGATGAAGCTTGAAGGATCGTCTGCAATTTCCATTCGAACTTGCATCACCTTCTTTCTCAGATGGTCCACGACATCAAGATTCACTGTGACACGAAGCAGTACAAATTCTTTATGAACTAACCCACAAGAATTTAAAAAGGAAATGGTGACCATTGTGTTGATTCCTGATTTGCTCATGCAAGCTTTCTTCTTTCCTGGAGACAGTGGCATGTGCTATTCCTCAGTCTGCCTTTTGGTTTCAGGGACATATTAAAAAAAACTAACTTTCGTCACCTGTTATGACCTGACTAAGAAAATGTGGTTCAGTTTTGAGCCACTCAAGCATTTCTGCCAACTTGTTTCAACGTGCTTTTTGATCATTATTCAAATTTTCTGGAATCATCTTTTCACACACTTCACTCATGTTCAAATCTTGTGTGACTTTTGGTGGACTGTACATTCATTGAGTTCATTGGTAATCATTCAAACTGTCAAACACTGATCTTGATGAATGGAAGTCCTCACTTGTTCAACATTAGTGCTTGTTCTCATATAGGAGGGGCATCAATATTGCAATTCATCTTTCGCCGTTTCTTGCCCATTTACAAAGTTTTTGTGCCACCGAAATACTTTAGCACATGGCAGGGAATCATTATGAAATGCTTTCTGAATCTTTTCATAGGTATAGGTAGCACCCTCCCCCAGCCTGACACAAAACTTGACTGCATGACGTTATTCGAGATTATTCTTCTCCACTTTTGTGATGCTGTAACAAAACATGCATCTACACAAACCACATGTATTCATGCTAGCAAGTTCAAATTTGGGCTGAAGGCAGAGCAGGGATGTAGATGTTATCTTGCATTGGTCTTAGTGCCACAATATTCCCAGTTCTCGCAATACAAAACCAATCTCATTACTTGGTTAACACGCCATGTATAATGATGACACTCAACTTTTATATACTTTTGGTGCCCCATGATTGAGACCAGCTCCTTCTAATGGGCCCAAATGACCTGGAACTTCTCCTCCCTTAGGCATGATGATGGAAACAGACCAGTTTCCAAGGCACTGTCTTTGCAAAAACCCAAGAAATGGACAGTGTCTGAAATAATAGTCATTTTCACTTACACAAAGGAGAATATGCAATTCTGCACTATATTTATACTTACATTTTGATTATTCTCATCACGTTATACAAGACCCTGAATAAATAACATAAACAGGATTGAAAGGTTTAATGGACGTTCAGTGTACGTTAATTTGTGTCCTTACCATCTCAGGTCGAATTGTTGAACCCCCTGTGCCTTTGAAACGTTGTGAAGCTTGTTCATATTGGTCAAACATTGATGTCATCTTGTAATATTAGTTTCTCAGATGTCTTTGCCTACAGATCAGCTACAAAGCCCCGAGCTGTTCTGGAAGAAATAAACCTGCAATTAGGGGCACTAAAACTAACAACAAACTTAATTTTGGACTTTGCTCATAACCTGGCAATCTAAGGAACACGCTGTTTTGGAACCTGCACCCATTTCCACCCTCAGGTGAAAGGATGGGTGGTACTTACTATGTTTGGTCTGTTAGAAAAAGTAAAATCTGAATTGCTGATCCAGTGATTGAGTTTAGCTCTAATGGACCCAACAGAATGCCACCCATCGTTTAATCATCATTGTCATTATCATCAATGCCACAACAGCCCTTGTTGAACCAGAGCCTCTCTAAGAAGATTCTACCAGATTTGTGTTCAATTAAACCATCTGGTTTTCACTTCTTTAGATTTAACAGCAATTTTTTTACACAGCAAGGTTGTCTGCCTTGCACCCAACCTACAACCTAGAGGACCAGATCCCTGTATTTACATCCCCCAGTGACAAAGTGGCCCAGTTATACCCCCAGGCACCAGGTTCTCTTTTCTTCTCCTCCAACAACTTGCAGGGCCACAGTGGAGGTATTCTAACCTGCCTCTACATAGGGCCCACCTACCCTTTCACCTGATGGAAACAGATCCAATGTCCAAAACTTTGTGTCCTTTAGACTTCCAGATGTTGAACAAAGTCCAAAAAGTCAGTAAACCTGAGTGTTATACACCAGCATCAAAACCCTCTTGAATTGGTATGAATCTTAATGTTACATGTGTATAAACTGTTGTGCATTTTAACTCTTTACATGCCATAGGCTGATTTAACTGGCTTGGGGTACTTGTGTTAAAAAAAAATTCACGGCCAATAAGACTGGCTCAGTGTTAATCAATAGTACAGTCACTAAGTGTAGGTGGTATAGAGACTGGCTATGGGCAGGACAACCAAGGCATCAGAGTTTGAGTCCTGATGGGGTCCAGAATTTTCATTTCTCTACGTCATCCAGACTGGCCCTGTGATCCATCCAACCTCCTGTCCAATGGGTACTGGAGGGGGGCCTTCCCCAGGGGTAAAATGGCAGGGGCACGAAGCTGACCGCTCACCTTCAACTAGTGCTGAGGTCAAGAAAATGTGGATCTATACATCCACTCCCGCATATGCCTTCATGGCATAGTGGTTAATAAGTTAAGTACAGGAACAATTTTACCTTTATACATCTGTTAATAGATGGCATTAAGTGTGACATGCTGATATTTAAGGCAAAGAGCAGGCTTTCATTTGATCTGTATCTGTGGTCATTTGAAGTTTGTTTGAGGAAATACTGTGGGTTTCCTTTGCAACTGCATTTATCCCCAGGCAACCATGGTGTTTCTAGCACATGGTTCTGTGGCAAGGCTTGGTGGTCCAAGGGTTAAAAGCCCTGTTATGGTTTGCATGAAAAAATGAACAAAACATCCAAACTTCTCATCACAACATTCCCTGTTTCTGACAGATATTCTAGTCCCCCCCCCAGTCCCAGTGTCTGAACTGTACTCCAAATGGCGTGATCAATCTTTCGTAAACACTGCACATGTACACTGAATGTCTGTTGTTAACGCTTTAAACCACACACTTGTATATCTACATGTAGAACTCACAGAAATGAAACATTCATTAATATTTTGAAGCCTGATGTCCATATTGCTGTTACCTTTTTCTCTATTTGTATCATGTAGCTAATAATAATAATTAAACATCTTTGCACTGACAAGTTATCTTGATTTCTGCAAATAAAAGTAAAAAGGTTTCTGCATTTTACACTAATAATGATCATGTGACCACTTTTGGTGTTTAATGTTGGCAATCACTGCATAATGAGGAGCTTCATAACATCTACTCCTTGCATAATATTATTGGAATGATCAAGAACATCAAGAATGAGATTGGCAGGGCACGTACACACATGGGAGAAGAGTAGGAAAACCTGGTGGCTACAGATCATTTGGAATATGCAGATGTTTATATGATATTAGAATAGATCTTTGAGAAACAGGGCAGGGGGGAGTTGACTGGATTAATTTAGCTAAGGTTGCAGACCATTTGCGGGCTCTTGTGAACACGGTAACGAACCAACAGGTTCCTTTAAATGATGAGAAATTCTTGTGTGTTTGAGCAACTACTGGCTTCTCAAAAACTCTGTTCCCGTAGAATAAAACAGTGTGAAGCTTTGAGCATGTGAACTAGTGCAACGGGTACATACTCTTACCCTTTTCCCCGACTACCAGGAATGTTGTTACACTAATGCCCTAACTTAAACCGCGGAGTGCATACAAAAATGTGAAGCGCTACCTTATGACATTTATGATCACATCCTTGAATAACGAGTATCAGTAAATTACAGTGATTATTTCTCCGTTTTCTTTTTTGTCCATGCGGGGGTTCGATCCGTTTTCACAGCAAAAAACAAAGAATAACCTCAGTACAAAACGACGCACAAACGACCTAATAATTACAACAGGATGACAACTGAATTACACACACCTCTGTAACTGAGCTAAAGCTAGGAGACCCGAAGAAATCAGCTGAACTCGATGCGATTCGTAGCGGTCGCAGCCATTGTCGTGTATAACTTCAGGGTATTCAGGTGTATGCGATTGCGTTGGAGTTAGTAGCGTGGTGCAAATGTTATTATAACATTCAGAATTGTTTCTAAATTATAATGCAAGAAGATGATGATCCGGTTATACAAGAGGTACAAAAATATATTATGAGAACTGGATTGAAATTAGTTTTGACGCTATGCGCAATACGAAGATTACTGTTGCACAGCGTGCATTAGTTTGGTTATACGACACGTGAAATAATGTGTTGCTTGCTGTTGACAGATTCCTGTATATTTGTCCAAAGTGTTGGCAGAGAAGTTGTTCCTTTACCAGTATCCAGTGCGGCCAAGGGGCGTTAGCTATGATGACTCCAGAGTTATACAGGTACTGGCATGATAAAATAAGTAGTTTTATGAATTCCGAAGTTTAAAAGGTAGCACCCCAGAGGTAAATAATAAACGTTAAAAGAAAACGAGCACCGTGTTGTTTAAAAATTCCTAGATTCTTTATTGAGGTTTTCATAAATGACTGAACATTGTAATACTGTTAAATATACCTCAAGAGACGTTCATAAAGGTAAAGTTGCCCCTTCACTTAATTTATTAGGCACTGTGCCATGAAGACATATGGGGGAGTGAAAGTATAGTTCCATCATTCTTGACCTTGGCAATAGATGGAGGTGAGTGGTCAGCTCCACGCCCCAGCCGCTTTAGCCCCAGAGAAACCGCCCCCAGTACCTGTTGGATAGGAGGTTGGGTGGATCCAAGAGCCACTCTGGACGCTGTGGAGAGAAAAATCTTCCTTCTGCTGGAAATCTAACCCTAACCATCCAGCCCATAGCACAGTGCTATATATCCCATCCCCTAACCAATATTCATAAGGCAACGAAAAGCCTTCTAACTGAGTGTCTATTAACATACCTTAATTCAGACAAGCTGCAGTAATTTGGAAGTTTGTTTCTAGTCACATCTGACATTACTCCTCAGACATCACTGTACTGTTCATAGGACATGTGCATCTGTTGCAGCAATGTGGTATGAAATTAATGAATTGATTAATTAGATTTTGAAACCTAAATATTAAGCCACCGTTAGCATATGTTTAGTTCTAACTGAATGACATTTAATACAGTCCAGGAATTAATGAATAGGTCATTTAGTGACCTTTGTATTCATAGTGCAGGTGTTTGAATGCATTGATCTTCTCAAGGCCCTAATAACAATGGTGAGGACTGTGCCAGTTTATACACTTGCTTTCTTTTTGACACTGCTGTAGTTGTTTGCATACAAGTTGAGACTGCACAGCATTTCAAAATGATGCTGTATGCATGCATCTGTCTATGCTTGCAGAGCTGTATCAAACCCGAGCACCAAGAGGTTAAGCTGGAGCTGGCACTGGACCTGCGTAGCACCAACTATGACACAAGCAAAGGCGAGCAGATAGCGTGCAATGTGGATGGCATTGCTGGCAGCAAGAATGAGAAGAAGACTGAAGAGAAGTTCTTTAAGAAGTTGGTAGAATTGTTGTCATCCACTGACCTTTCAGTTCCTCTTTTATCTCAGATGCAAAGCTCTGTGTGTCACTTGTTCTGCATTGTTTTGGTATCTGTGTGTCTAGAATGTGGGGGCATGCAGTAGCCTAGTGGGTTGAGGCACTATGCTACAGCCCGGAAGTTTGCGGGTTCAGTTCCCAATGAGGTCATTGGTTTTTTCAATTGACCTAATCCTTTGAAACTCACTATGGCCCTGGGGTCGACTCAGCCTCTAACAGAAATGAGTTCCATGAATCTTTCTGGGGTTAAAGGGTGGATGACGTGTAAAGCTGACAACCTCACCACCATCTGTGAGTCAATTGTCTAGAAAATGTGGGAGTTTTCAATGTCTCACAAACGTATGGGCCTCCATGAACTGTAACAGGGATAGATTTACCTTTACCTTTATGTCTAGAAATGTGTGGCTTTAACTCCACTATGCCAGTATATCTCCATGCTGTGGTGTTTAGACATAGAGGTATTCACTTGCTGTGTTTTCTGACAGTGACATCATGGATAAGCAGATATTGCAGTCTACACGTGCGCTGCCTGACACAAGCAAATATGCTGTGGCCATGTACCACGACAGAGAACTACACATCACCCCATTACGTGGCATCGTACATCTGCGTCCTTCCTTCCCTTACCTGGATAAGTCAGATAAACGTGCTAAAGAAGAGGCAAAGGATCAAGGAGAGGGTAAGCAGTCCAGAAACCACATTGCTGACAATTCTGTGACTATCATAAATGAACAAACAGAAAAGCCTTTTAAAGAGCACTGTCCTCTGCAATGTGCTGCTGTGTAGTCTGCTAAAGTTATCTGACATTTTGCAGGAACCTACCGCCTCTATCTTCAGGGTCAAAACTAAGTCAAGCCAGCAAGAAGCAAGGAGCAAATTGAGCCTTGCATAGCTTACTCTTTGACCCAGAAGATGGAGACAGTACATCGCTAAGAACATCACTAAATTGCTACTAGAGTATATGGTGTCACATCCCAGAAGATAATACTGTTCTGATTGGTTGACAGATAATAATTTTTATTATTATTATTATTATTATTGAAGGGGGTGGGTTTCTCCATGCACCGCGACTAATAGTCTATTGTACGTCCCCCTTTGATATTCTACCAGTCTCCATACCCTGCCGGTACTGGTACTCGCCATCAGCCCCGTTCAGCCAGCGAGGCTGGCTGCGGTACCGAATGCTTCCCCATCTACCGGAGGCATTGGAAATTACTTGGGCAGGAAACTTTTTTTTTACCTGATTTTGCTCAGAGATCTCCTAGAGACATGAGGATCTTTTATGTGCCGTAAATCTACGACACGGAACCCACAGCTTAAAGTCCCTCCCGGAGGACTTGTTCCCTGAATTTTTCCGCCCTTAAAAATTCCACGACCTCCGCCGGGTTTGAACCCGCGTACCTTGAGCCATGAGGTGGAAACGTTACCCCTAGACCACGGAGGCCGCTTTGACAGATAATAGTTGAGTTCTTGATTCTCGGCAGATTTGTCTGGAGAAGATGAGGCACAGCAGGTAACAGTGAAGTTTGCACAACAAGAGACAGAGAGGAAAAAACGAGCAAGGGAACGTTCATTTGGCTACTTGAGCAAGAAGAGTGCTGAGGAGCCCTGGTTCGAGACAGAATTCCACAATTCTCACTCAGAGAAGGCTGAGGTATGTAGTTTAACTGTGGCTGGAAAAACATTCAAAGGAAGTCTAAGTAACTAATTCTCAGTTACTAAAGAAAGTTCTAGCATTTAATGGAGTCCAAAGGTTCATTACTATGTTCACAGGATCGTACGAAGTCCACCCTGTTTAATGTTTTGTACCATGCTGATCCCTACAGCAAGGAGTTGTTACACTTATATCCAACCCCCAAGCTGGAGGACCATCCAGTGTCAGCTGTATGCAGCTGCCTGTTCATTATGTTCACATTTACATTTCATTTTATTTTCCATATACAGTAGAACTTGGTTATAACGTCATCAAAGGGACCTAAAAATAGTGTCGTTATAAACGAATGTCGTTGTAACTGAAATGGGCACTTCCACAGTAGCCTTATGTTAGTCACGTAAAAATCTACCAAAAACCGAGTTAAAATGTTGCATTTTTAGTGAAATACGTAGTTAAGTACAGACTAACGTAACATTAACGTGGAATTAATATGGATTCTCCATATCATTTGTACTGTAGAATTCACCAAACCAAATTCGCGGCATACATCAGCTTTTTTACTTCCATTTTCTATTTCACGAATCACTTTAACTTTCTCTTCAGTGCTTAAAACTTTCCTTTTCATTGCCATGTTTTCACTACTGCACTTCTCTGGGTTTAGGCAGGAACACTATAGGGTAAGTAGACAATGTGAGGTCCTGTTAGACAAGATTCTAGGAAAGGATGCAGTTAACAATTGCCGCATCCTCTTGCACTGTTCACGCAGTCCCATCCCACACCCTTGTTTTCGCATAAAACCCACGCTCCTCTTGCAGCCCGCGGTCGTATTCTTCCAGGACAGTCACGTCAGCAAGTAGAGAAAGTGAGGGTGGGCAGACACATCGAACTTTCCCACGATATCAGAGAAATTCAGGAATGAAAATGACGTTACATACGAGGTTGATGCATTTGTGCATGTCGTACTAAGCAAGGTATAAAAACAGTTGCTTTATGAGGAATTAGTTCGTACCATTGAATATTTGACGCAATAGACAAGGTGTCGCAGAAACCGATGTTGCTATAACCAAGTTTTACTGTATATCCATACAGGTTAACAAACCGGGATGTGGAAATGGTCCTTTTGAATACAGATACATCAACATGCACATACAAAATTGCACGAGTCAATCAAACAAAGTCAGTTACATCAACCTATAAACATAAATAATATTATAAGGTAAAAGAATTTAATAATATTTCAGTTAATAGATATACTTAAAAATAACTTAGTATAAAACTCGTATTTACATTATTTAATATAAAATACCTATATTAACTAAATCAAATACAGTCACAAAATTACACACCTATGACCCATTATGTTTATAATATCATCATCATCATATTTAACTCCCATATATCCATACAGTATATACTTCAAAACACATTTAAAACTATTAAAATTCTAATTTCTATATTCAAATTCATTAATCCAATCCAGTAGTTGCTCCTAATATCTTAAATAGGACTGCTGCAGATTTCTAGACTAAAAGTATATTACAATTGTTAAGCTATAATACGTTTAACCAGTTGATAATATTCTTTCATAGAATAAAAAGAATGATGAAGTAAAAATCTCTTCAGTGCTCTCTTAAAATTTAGCACGTCAGAAGTCAACCCTTTTAAAGCTTGAGGTAAATGATTAAAGGCTTTAATACCTGCTATATATGCACCCTTACTGTATTTTGTTAAGTTTACAGAAGGTAAATAGAGATTATTAAGAGATCTGGTTTTATACTTGTGAATCTCATTAATAGAATTGAAAAGATGGATAGTATTAATCGTAAATAAAATTAATGAGTATATGAATTGAGAATAGAATGTCATTATTTCAAGCATCTCAAATAAATGTCTACAAGACACTCTGGAACCAGAATCCGTGATAATTCTAATAGCCTTCTTTTGTAGTATAAAAACATTGCCAGCACAGGAAGCGCCACCCCAAAAGATTATGCCATAGCTTAAGATCGAATGTATGTGGGCAAAATAAATGGACTTTAATGAATCTAATGGAATAAAATGCTTTATTTTTCTCAATGCATAACGTGACCTTGAAATTTTATTGATAACATAGTCAATATGTTTCCATGTGAGGATCATCAATGATTAAACCTAAAAATTTTGTATCTGATGCCTTGATTAATTTCATTTGATCATCTACAATTTTGGAAGTAATGTTATAATAATTCATGGAATGAAATTCAGCATACTGAGATTTGTTAAAATTCAAATTGAGCAAATTAGCATTAAACTATGCATCAATGTCTTTAAGAGTTTGATTAAGATTAATTTCAAAATCTAGCTTGTTTGTGTCAGTTACTATAATACTCGTGTCATCTGCAAAAAGTACTATATTATTGTTTTTGTTCTTCAGTCAAATCTGTTGCCTGTTACAACTTTTTGATATCTCTCCATTAGATAACATTCTATGAGTGTTTTAAATTTTCCTTCTATTCCATAAAATATTAACTTGTCCAATAATATTTTGTGATTGACACAGTCAAACGCTTTTTGAAGATCACAAAATATACCTCCTACCATTAACTTATTCATAGCGTGTGGGATGCTATCTATCAATGAAAAGGACACCTACTCAGTCAAAGAGTGAGACCTGAAACCATATTGTTCTTGGGCCAGCATATTATTTGTCTCGATATGCTTAATGAGTCTTGCATACATAAATTTATTGATTATCTTAGAAAAGGAAGTTAGCAGTGACATAGGCCTATAGTTAGCAACATTTTTAAGTTTAAGGTCTTTCATTCTGGTCCGTCACACTAACCAATTAACAATCAAGTTCCTTCCGTCAAATGTGACACTTTTTTCAAGTTTTCCACCTCGTCACCACCTGCCTTACATGTTTCGGCTCACCACGGAGCCATCATCAGAGGCATTTATAGTAGAAAAAGAAATCACCAACACACAAAACTTCACTTTGTCCAAGATAGCCACGTTCCAGTTAATTAAAATAATTACAAATAGTTAAAATTACCCAGAGTGTCGGTTCACTAAAAGTTTTTCACACACCACAGTAGCTTTCTTATTTGATTCGTCGTTAATTGTGTAAAATTATGTTTCGTTATTTGAAGTAAGAATTCTTAAAATCCCTAGAATTCTTTCCCGCTTGGCCCAATCTTTTTGCTTCGGGATGTTGTTGACGTGTGTTGTCTGT